TAATAAACTATTCAAAGATAAATTACAGAAAAAATTATATTTATGGATGAGTAAAGGAGAGTTTCAATTAACAAAAGATAAAAATTTAAAAAAATCAGAATACTATTTAATTTGCTAGTAGATTTTAAAGGTATGAAAGGATATTTTAACAAAAATGATTTTTAAATTATTTAAAAAATGTGATATTTCTAATTTATTAGATGAAAGTAAAAATGACTTATTATATAATTCTAATATAAAAATTAGTCAATTAGATCAAAATAATAATTTAATTAAGATAATTAATCAAAATAATATCTTAAATGACAAATTAGAAAATAAATAAAATAAAATCAATTTTTTAAAAATTATACCAAAAAAAGAAATTGCTTATTTAATTTTTCTAAGACTTTTGGACTAAAGAGGGGAATTGCTTATTTTAGAAGATTACTTATTATTAGAAGTTTATGATAATTTAAATTCTGAATTATATTGACTATTAGTGATTTTGCTAATTAATTTTTATAATTTTCTTGATTTATTTATTTCTTTTATTATTTATTTTACTCTTTATTAAGATAATATTTATAGATATTGATATAGACTTTAGAAATCTTTATTATTATTAAAAGTTATAGTCTAATTTCTTTTTCTTTATTCTTTAATTAATTTAATTTCTTCCAACTTAATATTATTAAAATAAATTCAAATGAAAATTCACTTATCAGATTTGTTATAATAGTATTATGATTCTCCTTCAGAAAATTTTTGCTCTTGCAAAAATCAATTAATAATTTTCAATAATTCTTTCTTGTTTAAGTGATGTAACTTGATTGATATAAACTCAAATCTATTATCAAAGGCTTTTTCTTCAGAGTAATAAATGAAAAAAACTTTATGAGTAATATTATATGATCTATTATATATGCATTTTCCAAGAGTATTCTTAATATTCTTTTAATTTTTAACATCTCTCTTGAATATTTTTGAGATTGAATTGAAAGTATATATTCAAGTTTATAGTATTATAGCATTATTTGATTATTATTATCTAAAGAATTATTATAAATTGATAATATAATATCTTTAAGTTAGTAGATTAATCTTTATCCAAAGTTATTTTAATATCTTCTATCTTGGATATAGATACTTCAGATTATTCTTTAGAAGTGGTCAAACTATCAGAACTTACAAATTTTGATTCTTCTTCAATTCCTCTTACTTAATATTAACTTTAAATTTATTATTGGATGAGATAATAATAAAGATATTTAACCAGTTAAAGTCTAAGTCAGTAGTTGTATTGACTGGTTTAACAGGTACTTCAAGAGATTTAATAATTGGTTGAGTATTCAAGAAAAAAGTATTATCAACTTTAATATCTTAAGTAAATTCAGGTTGCATGAGTAAATTCAAGAGTGTAATATTAGTTTCTTGTTCTGTATTATCACAGGTGAGTAATCTATAAGTAGAGAAGATAATCATTCCAAAGGGTTGATGTATGAGTATTTCTTGATAGATCTTTTCAAGAGATTTGATCATTAAAGGTGTAATCTAAGTGGATAATTGAGACATAATAAAGAATATTAAAAGTAAAAGTGTAAAAGAATTTGAAAAGATATAAAATAATAAGAATAAAAAGTAATAGATAAAAGTAAAAATATGAAAAAATAAAGAAAAAGGAGAGAAGAATAGAGGGGGTATTTATATAAAATTTAAACTGAAAATCTACTATAAGTGATAAAATATTAAAAATATTGGTGTAAGGATAATTATAAAAATAGATAAAAATAAGATAGAAAAGAATTTTGAATATAAAAATAACAAAAATTAAAGGGATAATCCATATAAGTTACTCAATAATAATTTGTGATTCAAAGTAATCTTGGTGATCATAATAATATTTAAGTTATCTTCTATTAATAGAATATTTGTAAACTTTTTCTTTTTGGTCATGAATTTTGTAAGATTTATATCCAGTGTAGTTATGAATATAGTACCATTCTTTATTTCAGATAAGTGAAATTTATCTCTAATTACTGAGTATTATTTCATATTAAATATTAATACTTTATTTTCAATTTTAAAAATCATTTCTTTTTGAATTTTATTATTATATATTTAAGAATATCATAATTATTATTCTTCTATATTTTGTTTGGCTTCTAGAATTTGTCAAGATAACTAATCTACAATGTGATATATTCATTATATTAATTTTTCTTCTTCTGTAGAATTCTCTTCTAAATAGGCAGGAATTTTTAATTCAATTGGTAATTTAGCATTTCATTTTTAGGTCAAGAAAAACAATTCATACTTTGTTATTGGGTTTTGATTAGTTTAATAAGTGAAAAGAGTAGCAAAAATAAAAGTATCCCATTTTTGTTCATACGCTATTATCAATTTTTGTAAAATTATACATAATATTCTATTAAAGTATTTTATTATTCTATTTATTTGTGAATAATAAGATGAAGAAAATTTATATTTGATTCTAAATTTTGTTGACAATTCTTTAACTATTTCATTGATAAATTCTAATCTATTATCTGATTGAATTTCTTTAGAACATCTATATCTACAGATTATTTCTTCAAAGATAAATTTTGTGATTATAATAACTTTCTTGTCAGGAATTACTTTAGCTTCAGATCATTTTGTAAGATAATCTATTACTATAAGGGGAGTGCCATTTATCACATGATTTTTTTGTAGGTAGGTAAGGTGAGTGAATTATCAGGTTCCAGTTTTAACTCTGACCAGAATTAAGTAAATTAATAAATCCAGCTGAAATTAATAACACGTGATATATGATCATGAGATTAAAAAAAAATATATTTAGTATATCATGATTTTTATATGATATCATTAAATCATGATGTCATTTTCTATGAGTGGGAAGTAAACTTATTATCAGTAAACTGAATATTTTATTAAGTCATTGCTAAATCATATAGTCATTAAATCGAGCTTTGACTATACTTTTTAATTTCTTGATATTATAAGATCTTTCCACCATCTTTGTCGAGTCAGGTAATTGATTTATTTTTTTACTTAATATCTGAATGCACAACAAGACTATCATTCAAATTCCACATATTTCCTTGGCTCTGAGATATATCTTCTGCCACAATAAAATTTGACAGTGCATGATGACAATTTCGGATGTCTGGATATTTATATTTCTTATGGTTGGCTATGAACTTTAAGATGGGAAAATATTTGCCACAAATATTACAGGAAAGACGTTGATGTATCTCAGCCGGAATTGATAGATAATGGCGGTTATAAGGTAAAATTTTGTGTTTGTTGATATAGTCGAGAAGGTGGATTGGATTAAGAAAATAGCCATCTCTTTCTTGGATGATGAGAGAAAAGAATCCATTGTTTTCATCTAATAATAGTTCAAATTCTGGTACTGTATACTCACTACAATATTCTCTATTTGTATATTTTTTGATATCTAATGAATACCGACAGATCTGAGTATAGCATTCGATCCAATCCCAATTTATTTTCTCATAAGAATCTTCAAAAGGATCTTGAAATTGGTTGATATATTGGGCAATGACAGGTTTGTTATTAATATAGTCTCATTTCTAAATATTATAAAGCTTTTGGCCAGAAAACAAGAAATTTTGATAAGTTAATGCTTCATTAATCACTCTTTCTTGACTATCAAGATGAGAACCATATTCATCTATAGCCAGCATGATGCCTGCAAGTTTTCCTGATAAACTTGTCATGCTTCTTTCAATCAGGTTATATATACTTTGCCCCGAAGCATGCGTTCAGATTATAATGTAATTGAGATCAAGTTTTTGAAAGATATTCTAATATTCAATGATGTTTTTTAGATGTCTGAGATTTTCATCAGAATATCCGTCGACTAAAAGAATCCAAATTGACTTGACTTTACTCTCTTTTTTCAGAATTGATGTAAATTGATCATCACAAATAAGATTCATCAAATCTTGCATATGAGTACGTGACATAGTACTAACAAAATACTTAGGATGAACAAATATCACTAGTTGTCTATTTCGAAGTTCATCATTACTATTTTGAGGATCAATCATCAGGTAGACACTTGGAATTAGTTTCATTTTACTACCATGAATAAAATCATGATCTTCAATGAGTACTAGTTCATTAGCTGATTGAATTACTTTGAATGTTCTTCCGACTGCAGGAATGCCAAGTCCAATTTTTGCTTTATCATCTTGTGAGATGATAACAGCATCTGCCATAAACATATTAGCAATTGCTTTGGCTCTTTTGACAGAAGCTAAGTAATAATGTTCATCAGAGTGATTTTTTATTTCAGATCTTGAAATAGAAGCCAGTCCAATCAAAGCTGAATACTTATATGCCTTTATCACAAATGTATGTTGATGACGTGGTTGTAAATAATTTGAAAGGGTTTGTCTTGCAAGGTAAATATTATAATTTTGTTGCAAATTTTCTCGCAAATGCTTAATTGATTGGGCTTTGATTGTAGTTTTTCTTCTTTTGCAATTTGCTGCACCAAATTTAACACAATTATAGATTTTATCCCACAGATCAGGAATTTGCATTGCAAGTAGAGGATGTCCAGGTGTATCATATTATTTAACAATACCCTCTTCTAATAATTTTGCTTTCTTGGCTATCAAATGGTATTGTACTTCAGTGTGATGTTTTAATTGCTTGAGTCTTGTCTGATATTCTTTAATTAACTTATTATCTGTTTGTATTCTTTTTTTCACTAGAGTTTTTAGCTCTTTGTCACTTGTAAGTTGATATAATACTTGATTTTCAATCAATCGCTCTTGATATTCTTGTATAATTTTTGTTGCATGTCTTTGGCCAAGAGTATTTGGAGGAAGATTTGGAGTTTTAATGAATATTGAACGTGATTCAGCAATATAAGAATGATTATTAGAACTTTTTGCTGAATTAATTGAAAATATGGCATGATAATTGTAAATAACTCTTGATTGTGATGCAAGATATTCTTATATTTGTTGTAGAATTGTATCTTAATCTTGAACTTTGATAGTTTTCCAAGAAATTCTTGCTTCTTGTAAAATTATTTGTTTATCTGGAGCAATAATGTCTTTTTTTACCATATATTGATATGCATAAGCATTACAATATTCTTGATAAAGATTAGTTAGATTTATAAAAAATAGTGTTTTATTAAACTTGGGAGCTGAAAGGAAACTTTGCATTATTGTTTTTTGTGAATGCTATCAAAAAAGTATGTAAAAAATCCTATATTGTTGTGTCTTATTGTTAATTATATTACATGTGATTAAATTTGCACATGATATAATCAGATGTAGGATAGTAGGGGTACCGCTATAGTAAAAAGAAATCATGTAATAAATGACACTCCCCTAATAATATATCAATTTCTAGTTATTATTATTTTACTAGGTTCAATTAAATTAATAATAATTCTGTCAAAAGATTATTTAATTTTGATAGGATGTAAAGATTATTTGGTAATTCTTCTACTAGTTCATTGACAAATTTTACAAATCTTCATATAATTCTTGATATCTGTTTCTATATTATTTCATCAATATTTATTTTTAATTTATTAATAGATTTCTTCATATCCAAAATATTCAGGTAAAGAGCTTGAATATAAATTAATAAGAATAGCTTCCATTTCATTTTTTTTTAATAACTTGAAGAGGTATAATTAGTTCTTTTCTTCTATTAATTTTGTATAATATATTATCAATTTGTAAAAATATTTTGCTTGATTATAAATTTTGCATTATTGTTCAAGAGTTGATCCTATAGAATAAGTTTTATTATCCAAATATCATTATAAGTTGTAGTAAGTTATTAAATTCATATTATTATTATAAAGAGAAAAGTTATTTAATAATCTTTTGAATATATCTGGAATAATATGTTAGCATTTTGATTCTTTCTTTCAGATTAATAAGTAATAATAAAGATATATTCCATAAGAGATATGATCCAGTAATTTACTTTAGCAGAATGACTTAATTGATTTTTAAATAACTATCTCAAGACATTATGATTAGTAATAATTTCAAAAACTGTTCCAAGTAAGTAATGACAAAATTATTTAATAGCCCATACTATTACTAGTACTTTTTTTCAGTTATTTTATATTTTTGTTTATTTGGTTTTAAGATGACATTTGTATAAGTGACTACTTGTTCTCTTCTATCTTTATCTTTCTTGATAGAACAGCTCCAAGTCCTAAATCTGAGATATCAGTATAAAAATAGAATTTCTTTGTAAAGTCAAGATAAATCAAAATAGGTACAGTTGTAAGATGTCATTTAATTTGTTAAAAAGCTTTTTCTTGTTCTATAGTTCAAATGAATAATTCTTTATTACAAAGTAATTTGAACAGAGATGCAGCAATTTGAAAGAATTCTTTAATAAATTTTCTGTAGTATCCAGCTAATCCAAGAAATTATTAGAGTTCTTTAATAATTCTGAATTAAGAAAAGTCTTGTATTTTCTAAATTGTCGATGAGTCAAGAGAAATTTCTTCTTCTGTTATTACATATTCAAGAAATAGTAATTCTCTTTTACAATAGTTACATTTTTCTGGATTGAGTTGCAAATTAGCTTTTCTAATTCTGTAAAATACTTTATTAAGATAATCTAAGTATTTTTCAAAATCTTTTGAAAATATATTCAGATTATTAATATACATATTGGCAAAATTCCAATTATATTCTTCTAGTACTATATTTATAGTATATTAAAAAGTGACTGGAATATTGCATAATCCAAAAGGCATGATATTAAATTCAAAAAGTTCTTCTCTAAAGATGAAAACACTTTTGGATTTATCTTCTTCTTTCATTTTAATTTGTCAGTATCTAGAGATTAAGTCTATAGATGAAAACCAATGAGTATTTCCAAGAGAGTTCATTATTTCATCAATTCTTGATAATAGATATGCATCTTTTTGGATGATTGCATTTATTTTTTGGTAATTAACACAAACTCTTTTCTTTCTATTCTTTTTAGAAACTATAACAATAGTAAAGCTCAAGAACTAGTTAATGGTCAAATAATATTAGCTTCTAACATTCTTTAAATCTCTTCTAATATGAATGATTAGCCTGAAAGAGTAATTCCATAAGGTTATTATTTAATAAGTAATTTATTTCTAGTATATATTTCATGTTGAATTATATTACTTCAGTCAAGTTTATGTAATTCAGTTGCAAATATATTAGCATTTTCTTCTAGTAGTTAAGTTAGAAGCCATTCTTATTCTGCAGTTAATTTTTATTATTTAATAACTTTTTCTTCTTATTCTTGTTCCAGGAAATAGATATAAGCTTCTTGATGGTCAATAAATCCAAATCTATCTGTTCCTTAACTAGATTATTCAAGTTCTTCTTGAGTAGAAACTGATTTAAGTTGATTAACAGGTACAAGTTGAAGAAATATGAGTTGAGTAATTTTCTGATCTGATTCAATAATATAATCATCTTCTGAATTATTTTGAATGATAATACTAATATTTCCAGTATATCCAGAATTAATAGTTCTATCTTTAATATTAATTTCTTGTTTTGCAAGAGATAAGTGAGATATTACTTGACATATAGCTCCTACAGGAATTCTTATAGCAATATAAATATCCACTAATATAACTTGATATAAGAGAATTCTAATTATTTCTTTTTCAGTATAATAAATATTATATCCAGCATTAGTTAGATATGCTTTTTCTGATAATTTTTCTTTATCTTGATCATTATAAACTTTGATTGGATAGTAGCTATTATTTTGTTTCACAGGAATATTCTTTAAATAATTGTTAAATTATTACAAAAATTCATTTAGAATTTGATAAATAATATTGAATCTTTCATATATTTTATTTAATTTGAGTTGAGAAGATTGAGTTGAAATAAGAGTAAAGCTAATTTCTTCAATTAGTTCATTTATTACTACTTTTTCTGGAATTGATTCCAAAGTCATAAGATATTTTTCTTGATCTAATTTAACTGAAAGTTTAGATTATACACAATTATTATATTTGTCATTATCACAAGGAATCAGATGTTCTTAATAGAGTTTCATATTGATATAATTCAAGCAAGCAAGCTATTATTTTTAATTAGGACTGAGTTATTGATAAATATATTGAAATCTTTTAGTAATAGAGACTTTTATAAAACTCTTATAAATGATCTCATAAACAAAATCATTCTCATATATAAAGTGAGATAGGATTACTTTGCCAATTTTATCATATTATTCATAAACTTCTAATAGTGTTTTTCTTTCTCTAAGCTTGTTAATCATTTTGATACTCTTTCTCTATTCTTCATGATTAAATCAATAAATACATCAATGTTTATAAGTACAGAAGTATTTCTTTTCATAACTTCCAGTAATAAATATTTCTTTGGACTTATTATTAAAGATAGCTTCTCAACTAATTATGACTTGCAATAATTAATCAGAAAATTGCAATAGAGTTGTGATAGCTAATCAGAGAATTGCAATAAAATTATGATTAGTTATGACTCCCATTACTACTTATTATATTTATCAGATTGAGAGCAAGCAGAAAGATTTAATTATTTTTCTCTGATATAATTATCACAAGCAGTTACTTTTTTTCTATTCATTTTGAAATATATTTCAGTATAATATTTATCTATATATTTTTTACATTTATGATATCTTTCAATCTGAGAATTAGAATAAATTTATTATGCAATGAATTAATATATATTAAAACTTTTCTTGACTCTTTTAGTTCTTGTTCAACTTTATCAGCCTAATCTTTATTGATTTTGAATTTAGCACAGAAAGATTTATGAATTTTGATTATTATCTAGTTAGCAAGATTATTATAATATTAGTGATATTGATAATCAAGCATAAAAAGATTTCTATAGTACCAGCATTAGCTATTAGATCCTCACAGTTAAATAATTATCAGTTATCCCAATTGCATTTTTGAGTAAACTTCTTGTTAATTTATTTAAAATCTTTCTAGATATAATTCTTCTATTTGATTTTAATTCCTTCTTGATAAGCTTGTATTTTATGAATTCTTTTAATACTTTGAATAATTTGAAATAATATTTTTCCAAAGTCAACATCTCTTAATCTTTGATTTAGAGTTTTAATAGAGATCCAGACTTCTTTAGTAATAATTTCAATACTATTATTATCTTGAAATTCTTGTTGTCTAGGAATTATAATATTCTAATTATCATGTTGTCACATGAAAAAAGTCTTCTTCTTCAAATATTGTTTCTTAAATTCACTTTCAGAATCTTTTTCTGATTCATCTTCTTTAGAACTGGCATTATCAAATATTGGTTCTTCTCTATCATCATGAATAAATTTAATTAGTACTTTTCCTTTTTGATTATTATATTTAAAAGTAAGTAATCCTTTTTTGATATCAATATTAGCTTTGATTTTATTTAAAAAGTTCATATTAATAATTACTGAGTATATTTTCATTTCAATAATATTTACTTCAGTAAAAATTATGATTTCATCAATATTTAAAAATAGATTGTTAATAGATCCAAGAGGTTATTTAGATATACTATTTATATCTGATATTAAAATATTTGAACTGCATTATATTTTCAATTCTATATCTTTAATAAAATTATATATAGTAATATATTCAAAGATACTAATATCAATGATTAAATTAATAATATTTCTTCTAATTTTCACTTCATATCAAGCAGATGTGATTTTGAGTTTTGTCTTAGTAATACTCTTCTTTTTCTTTTTGATTTTAATACTATAGCTTAGCATATTTCTTTTGATAATTAAGTTCTTTATGATAGTAAGATCTGAATGAGCTGAGTAATAGTTATATTTGAGCCAAATCTTCTAGAATATCATATGATTTAGTCATGCTAACAAATATAGATAAAGCAATTTTACTTTTCTTTTTGCAAATAGTCTTTTTGATGAGTTCTTTTTCAAGAATTTTAAATAGTCCAGCATTATTTATATCTTAATCAAGAATAATTTTAGAAGTATCTTTCTGTTCTTTATCATTATCATTTGATTCCTCATTTTTATCAACTGTTTCTTTATAGGATCAATCTACAGATCTAGTTTCATAAGAAGTAATTCTAGAATTTCTGGATTTTCTTTCAGCAGCCAAGTATTTATATATATCAAATAGTGAATTTACATTATTAAATTTGATAATTAATATTTGAAT